ATATTAATATGCTGTTTAGCAGCCTACTCATTTATCTTTCCATGTCAACTTATTATCAATATATGCCATCATTTTAAAGTAATTCATTTCTGAATTACACAATATTTAGAATATATAATATATAATCACTGATACTTTCCATTAGGGACTTTCTAAAAATGAACGGGTTATTCATCCACTTCAAAACTCAAGAATCCATATAACAAGGGTTTAGCAAATTTTTTTGTAAAAAATGGGTAGTTAATATTTAAGGCTTTGCAGCCATATAAATAAGGCTTCTGCTGTCCTCTCCCCCCTTTTTTCCCCCCCCCCCCCCCGCCTTTTTTCAACCCTTTAAAAATGTAAAAAACATTCTTAGCTTACAGAATTGGCTGGATTTGGCCCACGGGATATAATTTGCTGACCTCTGGTTTATACCTTAAATCATGGTATTTTTGCATCACAACACCAAACTCTTATGGAAAATATTATAAATACCCAAATAAGAAATACCAACATCTTTTAAAACTACTTTTGGAGAGGAATTTCATCTTTTGCTTTTCACACTCATTTCTATAAGATGACTGGCTTAGCAATATAAAAAACAAAGCACATAAAGATTGAAAAAATAAATAAAAAAACAAAGCACATAAAGATTGAAAAAATAAATAAATAAACAAAGCACATTATTATTTGATAGTCAAAAATAATTTAGTGATGTCATATGGTACCTTAAGTAAAAGGAAATAGGATAGAAAATAGCTCAAAAACACTAAATGCAAACCTCAAAAGGATAGAAGACAGCACTATCTTCTCTGTACTACCTGACAAAAGAGTTACAAAGCCCTAGCTAGTTTGGTTCAGTGGGCAGAGCATCAGCCTGTGGACTGAACGGTCTGGGGTTCGATTCTGGTCCAGGGCACATGCCTGGGCTGCGGGCTCGGTCCCCAGTGGGGGGTGTGCAGGAGGGAGATGATCCATGATTCTCTCTCATCGTTGATGTTTCTATCTCTCTCTCCTATTCCTTTCCTCTCTGAAATCAATAAAAAAATACATACAAATATATGTATGTATGTATGTGTATATATATATACATATATGTGTGTGTGTGTGTGTATATACATATATAAGAGCTACAAAAAGCTATATAGTATATTCAATTCTAACATTGCAAAAGCTTTTAAGATAGGATTTTCTTATAACTTCTGAAGAATAGAGACTGAGTTTAGTATGAATTATTTAAATATATGGAAGTTTGATAAATGGAGGAAATATTTACTTGAGTATTACATCATCATCTTAACACAGGACAGCAGAGCTCCTCTGAGGAAAGAAATGTTTTTGTTTGGTAAAGCCCACTATGGTGCAAGGTGAGTTCTTGCAGCATTGACAGGAAAGCGAACTCCTCTGCATAAGACTAGGGAAATGACAGTTCTCTCTTTCTCTGGAAAGAAGTCCCATCCAGATGGCAGTAGCTCAGAGGCCACAAGAACACCAGGAATTTGCAGAAATCTAGGGAGAGTTTTGGCTTCCCTATAACATGAAACTGAAGGTTCAAAACAACTATTTAGCACTTAAAATCCAGACACTCAACTGATACTTGGGTTACTGGAATATTAAAATATTTGCTCACAAGAGCAGTTGCTGTTAAGAATTTATATTTCAGAATATTAATAAAATCATCATAGCTGTTATATTTTTAAATCTTTTCCAACATAGGAAATTATGTCATTTTGACTAAAGTACTGGTTTAAAAAAAAGGAAAAAACACAATTATAAGTCTTCAAAATTGAGTAATGCAGAGTAAGTGGTATTAGAGTTTGTGGGTTTCCTGTTCTCTTAACCAAAAATGCAGTGGAGGGGGTAATGTCTTGAGGCATTTTATATAATAGATTCTGTAGGTACTAAAATATGTACTATACTTCTGCAACCAAAAAAATTCTTCCCCACCAAATTAGAAAGTGTTTTTTTCAATGCTGACTGACAAATTTTAGGTTGTAAATTAAATCAAGAGACACCATTACCTGAAAACCTACAGACACTTCACAGATTAAGAAACTGAACAAATATAATCATGCTGGCAGACTTAAGAGTATTTACTGTGTAATCTGCACTTCACGACTTATCTTCAAATCAAATAGCTAAGGAGATCCCTCCAAGCAGCATTTTACACAGCAATAAAATAAATACAAATTTAAAAAACAGAAATATTTCAGGAATAGGTAGAAAATCTGTGTCCTCATTTCTTTTTGTCCCCTCTGAAAATCAAATGTAAACTTGTTTTTTCCTGGCTTAGGATGATCCTAAATTTTTCAGTTATTTTAAACTTATAATACTTAGTCTTCAGAAGCTGATGTTTCCAAAAGGTGCCAAAAGAAAAACTGTCGCCAATATAGCTCTTCAGATCAACAAAGTAATCAGTGGCACCAGGACATGCAATCTTAATTGGCCAGAAACAGGGTGTAACTTAAAATGGGAGTGATGCCAGGGTAGAATATTTATTATATAAACATATTTATAAACATATATAATTCTAGAATGAGTCTAGAATTCTGCATATCTAAGATTTATAACCATTTTAGTAACATAATTCTACTAGGCAAAAAAATGTTCAAATTATATTATGGTTTGGACATAAGACTCATTGATTTCCAAACCATTTGTCACAATCAATTACACGACTTCACGATAAGGTTACCTTTTGAGGGAGAAATGACATGTAGTGGGTGATTTGGGTTTGCCAATGAAATTCAGGAACCAAATAAAAACAGATAAAAATTCTGTTGGCTATCTGCAACTAGGGAGACAATTAAGATTCTCAATTGAGGAACCAAGATGGTGGCATAGGTTAACGCCGGAGTTTGCTGCCTCGAACAACCACTTCAAAAGTGAAACTAAAAGACGGAACGGACATCACCCAGAACCACAGGAAGGCTTGCTGAGTGGAAGTCCTACAACTAGGAGGAAAGAGAAACCGCATACCGACACTCAGAGGAGGCGCAGTGCTGAAGTCAAATACCGAGGTGCGTGCGGAGTGCATGCAGAGCGGGCTGGTGGCTGAGGGCACAGTTGGCGTTTTCAATTGGGAGGGAGTCTCAGGCTCTGAGCTCCAGATCCGGGCGAGTCTTTAGGGACCCAGACTCAAACGGGAGAAGCGGGACTGTCTGGCTTCGGTCGGAGCGAGTGCAGCTTTCTCTCCGAGGTTTGCAGCGGTTGCTGGGACTCAGAGAGGCAGAGCCCCTGGGGACAGGACTGAGAGCGGCCATAACTGCTCTCCCTCTCCGGCCCGCGCTGTTGATCCTGTGCGCCCCGCCCCGCCCAAGCCCTGCACAGAGGCATTTGCCGGATAGCCTCGGGCAAAGGCTAGATAAGCACTTCCCTAGAGGACAGAAGTTTTCCCAAGCAGACACAGCTGATTCTCACAGCCACTTGGCCTGGAGGTCAAATCCCCCCTAGTATTAGCTACAACAATCAAGGCTTAACTACAACAAGACTGCGCACAAAGACCACTAGGGGGTGCACCAAGAAAGCATAACAAAACGCGGAGACAAAGAAACAGGACAAAATTGTCAATGGAAGATATAGAGTTCAGAACCAC